AAATTTCTTGACGTGCGTTTTATTTTGATGGCCTAAACGTTCATGATACAGCTGAAGTAAATTTGGGGTAGTCAATTGGTTCACTATCATTGATGGCTTCAGGCATCTCATTTTTAAACAGTAGAGATCGCCCCCTTTCTCTCTAGTGCCAACAAGTCGTTTCTCACCATCGACTTTCATAACGCATGTTGTCGGAGTTGACTCAAAGGTTAGCACAAAACACCATTATATCAAACTTATGATAGCACGAGTCCAAGCGTTAAGCATTATAATAAAATCGTATATCAACCGTATTTCTTTTAAACGACTCTTATACATAAAATTTGGGCCCCCCCTTTGTACGACTTTAAGCTTTATAAAAGCTGTGCAATAGCACTACAACTTTTGTATAATAGCATTAATAAAGTCGGGTAAAAGCATTCTAATAGCCACAAAAAGTTCAATTAGCACCTTAAAGTGCTAATTGAACTTTTTGTGACTATATTACAATTGATATGCGTAAATCAAAATTATAATACGTTAATTTAATATTATAAAAATGCTTACTGTTTTATTTCCTTTGTAAAAAAGTATATTTAATAGATTTTAAAAACATATAATCGGTTTAAATTATTGTTTTGTGTAAGTGTCATGACATGTTCTCTTGGCTGGTCTTTTAAGTATTTTTGAATATTGATTTAAACAGCTCGTTTTGTGTGAAATAAGCTGCACACATCAGTTTGTGGAGTAAAATATACAAGTTTATGGTGTAAAATACACGCGCCTTCGCAAACTTCCTTTAATATAATAAAAATAATAAAAAATTTAACCTAGTAGCAAAATTTTTTGTTGAATTTTAGGCTTTTTAGCATTGTTTTAACAACATAATTGCTTTTAAAGGCATCTGTGCACAAAATAAATGATTATTTACCCCTTTTCATCTGACACAGTTGACTTTAAATATTTTGTAAGAATTGGAAAAAGAAAGCAAATGGCGACTCGTAAAATTAAAGCATTAGGTATTCAAATATGGTGTAGTAGAGCTGTTAATCGTATTATGGTTAGACACAAAACTAAGAGCTCGTAATTCACCGTATAACACACTCCCATTTTAGTTACAGCCGTATTTTTACACTTCAGAAGTATCTTATAGTGCTTATAATCATCAAACGATTATTTCATTTTTATTTTGATTTTTAAAAGCTTCAATTAAATTAGAATACTCTTTTTTCAGTTTTCACTTATATCCACCTGTTTTCTTTGTTTTTCCCAGCGTTTTTTGTCCATGGCGCCAGCGATGCGTATAAAATGCCACCATTACAATACAATACATAAAATAATTTTACATTTTAATTTCACATAAAAAATAATTACGATCTATTTATTACTTCTATCTCTATAAATAACTTAATATTGATCAAAATATAGCTTAATGTTTTATAAAAGCATAGATTAAGAAGATAAAGGAGCTTGAGCTTGATTAAAGAATACTTTAAGAACAAATCGGTGCTAAAGTTTTACTAGTTCTTTATTCAATGTGTATATAGGATAAGCATTAAATCGATACAACCATAGACCATTAGAAAACCTTTGTTTCTAGAAAATGACTAAATACAACTAAGTGCACTAAATAGTATTACGTTAATGCTTATATAATATATAATGTTTTTCATATCACCGAAATACGATAACAGCTTTATATTAATATTACCCAATACTTAAATAGGAGTTTTGACATTGGTATACTTTTTTTATTAACCATAATATGGCATTAAGCATTATTAGATAAAATAAATGCCTTTAAACAGATTCGAAACTTGACCAGAGCTGATTAAAAATGTTAGTATGACTTTAGGACATAAATCGGTACTTATTTTAGTTAATATATTATTTATGTGCCTATCATTGATGGCTTCAGGCATCTCATTTTTAAACAGTAGAGATCGCCCCCTTTCTCTCTAGTGCCAACAAGTCGTTTCTCACCATCGACTTTCATAACGCATGTTGTCGGAGTTGACTCAAAGGTACTATTATCTGAGTTGTCATGGGCAGCTAGCACAGAAAAGAGATTTCTGCTGATAGAAGGGACATACCAGACATTCTTCAATGTGATTTGTCGTAGTTCTCCTTCAACTTCGGCTTCTGCTCTAATTGTGCCGATCCCTAAGGCTTGGATCTCTTGGCCATTAGCTCCTGTCACTGTATGCTTACTTTTAAAAATGCTAAAATCTACGAAAAAATCGTCTCTGTTTGTTACATGGTTGGTTGCCCCATTGTCCACGTAAAAATTTGTCGAGTCTTTCACAATTTTATCAGTTATGGCCAAGATAGTCATATTAACAGCTGATGTCTTGTTCTCTGACTTCTTCGGTTTGCCATCACTGATCCACTTCTTGCATTTTCTCACAAAGTGCCCTAGTTCTCCACAGTAATTGCATTTTCTCTTGTCTATCTTGCTTCTTGTATTCTTTTTTTTGCCTGTTTTTACCAATAATGCTTCTCCACTACTGCCTTCACCGTAGTTATTTGCCTCTTCTTTTGCAAGGATCTTCTCGTGTGAGCATAACTGTATCGTCAGGTTTTCAATTGTGCGCTCATTCTTCGTCATCAGTAGCCAGCTTGATTTAAAGTTTAGGTATTCCGACGGTAGAGTGTCGAGAATCTTGTATATCAATAGAATATCAGGTAATTCCTTATCAAGATTCAGCGACTGATTGAACTGGTGCCAATATCTCTTTAAAGTCGAAATATGCGTCGCCATATCATGCTTGGCATCTCTTTTGTACGAAAAGAAAGTCTGGCACAGCTCGTAGCTCTGGTCAACAGTGCACCCTCCGAAAAGTCTGTGTAGCTCATCCCACATGTCCTTAGAATAGGTAAAGCGCATCATTTTCTCTAAAATGTCATCTGGTAAGTTTGACATTAACAGAATGGATATCATGCTGTCTAGTTTATCATACTCTTGTACTTCTTTCTGGTACTTCGCAGTATCTTCTGGTGTGGCACCTGGCAATAATATTGGCCTCGGTTTGATTCCTTCCAATATTTCCTTTGCACCCTGTAGCCCCTTTAGTACCATTAAAATTCTGAACTTCCACGTATTGAATTTCTTAGAGTCTAAGCTCCCAATTCGAACCTTGGAGACCTCTGCTATAGATTGGTCCATTTTGTTTGACATTTCTGCAGGCCAAGTTTTCACGAATTTTTTTTAAACAATTGGTTTAGCCACCAAAACAACTCTTAAAATTCTTGCCGACACTTTAATTTCTTCTGAAATTCTCTGCTACCATATTAAAGAAATGATAAAGCTCGGATTGGAAGTATAAAATACGAGTATAATAGCAAAACATAAAGACAGATACAAACAGGAATGACAGACACGTCAAGTAGGTACAAAACACTAAAGAGATCGAAAAACTACCAAGAAGTCTTCACTTCTTAACACGAAAGTGTTTATTTCTACTCAAGATTTCGTTTACCAGATATCAATTTGTAGTTTAATTTATTAAATCTGTATGCCCGAATACCGCCAAAATTAAATTGATATTAAATTGTATATTTGCGTATTAGACAATGTAATATAAAAAAAATATGGGCCATTGATTGAAACAGTTTGTACAAAGCACATGATTATTAAAAATTAAGATCGGCATTTTCTTGTTTTGTTCGTAGCCTGATTATTTGGAAAAAATAAATACATAATTCATTAAAACCACGTTTTCATTTTAAAAAACAGTAAATTGATGACATGACGTAGGTATGAAAGGAATTCTAGTCTGGTCTATATGTTTAAAATAACATTAAAAAGTTGTATTAAAGTTTCCGGATGCTTACCATACCGGGGGAAACGATATCTTAGCGATTGATTGATCATGCATTTCTAACGTTTTGATGACTTATAAGCGACAGCCCTACATGTTTAGGCTATTATCTCTCGCTCGGGTCTCGAGTGCACCTACTTATATATTTGTACTGTGCCGAAGACCACTTCCCACGCCGTTCGACCCCATTCCAGCCCACCCTTTGCAGGTTGCAAGCACTAAAAAAGCACCTCACTAGATTGCGCCTACAAGGTTCATTGAAATCAGTTCAGTACTTTTTCTATCATATATATTTTATTTATATTTAAATCATAGTATGACTTTGTACCTACCTTTGTACCTTTGGTAATGTTATAAGAGGCATAGAAAAATGGAGCAAAACAATACTAAATTGGATATCCAGAGATAGGAAAAGGAGGAGAGGGAGGCAGTGGAGACGATGGGAAGATGAACTAGCAAAAACTGCAGGAGTGACATGGACTAGATTGACAGCAAATAAGAAAAATTGGGGAAGATTGGGGGAGGCCTATGCTAAAAGACAAACAGAGATAACCGACAAAACAACTTAATAAATATTGGCATATTAAATCTAACATTGACATAAATTAATAATTCAATTCAATATCCTCATATAATAGCATTTATTAAATATTATGACTAAACAAGATATTTGTGTAATGAAAGAATAAAATTGTATTAATCAAAAGTATAATTGATATGTGAATTTAATGGTTCTCTGAATAAAGGCTTATTATTATTATTATTATATGACTTTGGACCTATGCCTGTTTGTGGAAGCATCCCGAGTGGTCTGTGGCCTCATAAATTTATTACTTTATAAAAATAATGTTTTATATTATTCATTTAACATATTATGTATCTAACATCAAAGGTATATGCTTATTTATTCTTAATGAAAAATTTACTTTTTTTTTTATCTAGAATTTGGTTATAGCATATTAAACTAAGTATCTTCATGGGCCTAAGGCATTTTATACAAGAGAAAAAGCCTTGATTGCCAAGCATGCCTTCCCCCATGGGAATATAGAAAATGGAGTCTCAACGTCTAAAAGTTATTATGGACCTCTGTTGTGGATGGACAACAGAAAAATGCAAAGCTAGTATGTAGTGATAATAATATTTATTAAAACTACATAGCTTTAAAGTAATCTTTTAACAACCTATTGTACTTAACACATTACTTCTTTAATGTATACAAAATGCAACAGTTAAAGGACTTTATATTTTTCTACTTTAATATATATTAATTTTCAGTTAATTTGTTGTCATTTAATTGAATTTGGTTTGTCCTGTTTTCATCTTTGTTAGTTGTAGGTTTAATTTCATCAGTAATGCCAATCTTTTCAGCCATTTCTCTATATTTAGATTGACGATAGTCATATTTAGCTGCATCAAGAAGTACATTTTGGATAAGCAATTTATTATTCATTTGTTTGTTGACTAGCGGTGGGTAGGGGTTTCCTTTAAGTTCCAGAACAACTTTCTCTGTGCTTCGAGTGTTTATAGCTCTTGGTGCATTTATAATACTTGTATATGCGGTATTACAATCTTGAAATCTTGGGACTAATACTTTAAACAATTTGTGTATCAACTCTTTTTCTAGAAGCCAGTAATTTGCTGCTTCCATTGTTGGCTTATGACAATCACCGTGACGGATAGCTTCAGATATTAACTGTAACCATAAAACATACATAAACAAATAAGGTGGTGTTAAAAAATATTAAATCTTTAATTTAAAATTCTTACTCTTTCCGCATACTGACGAGCTTCATCGCCCCTGCTGTAATTTAATTCTATTCTTTCGTATTTAAATAATCCTGTTACTGTTTTACGCAATTTATCCAATCTGCCTTCTGGTCCTTTTATGTTTCGTAGCTTTCTAGGTTCATTAGGTATTTTTATACGAAGCTTAGAAACTAATTTAGACACCTCTGCTTGATTCATTTTAAGAGGTTTCTGTTTCAAACGTTTTCTCAAACAAACGTCTTTTTATTATTCCGTAAAATAAAATTAAAAAGTACACTTATCAAAATAAAATGTAGGTTATTTGTTTTTTTTTAAATATATACTTTACTCTTTGTTCGTCTACAGTTCACGTAAAAAGCCATCCGACACGGCAGGAATTCGAGCCCCAACCAAGGTACTAGATGGTTGGCCTATGTTGTTGTGGACGACTTTTATTTATTACTACAGTTTGGTCATTTCAGTAGGTCACATATCCACATTTGGCCACATAACTACATTTGACTTCAATCAGTCTCAACTTCAAATCAACCTTGTAACTCGGCTACATTATTTTACCTACATAACTTACATAATAGACATATCTACATATATATTTTTTTAAGGTAATAAACTGTATAAATATGAAATATTAAAAAAAACATTAGTACGTTTTTGATTTCTCCATGACAACCCTTACCTAACCTAACCTTTTTTTTTTCGTTTTCAAAACTCAATAAACAACTCATATTCTATTTGTATTGATATATAAGTTTCGATTTTTTTCAATTTGACTGACCAAGGTGTCTTATAATAATAATAATATCGTAATATTCTTTATTGCACGCTAGACAGGACATAATACAGAGAAGAGAGAAAAAGAGAAAGATTATAAAGGGCGACCTTATTGCAACGTTGCAATCTCTTCCAGGCAACCCGAGGCAAAGAAAAACATGAACTATATAATAAAAAGAGGGGGGTGCAAGATGGAAAAGTAAATAGATAAATCTGTATAATGTCTTATATATATAAAAAATTTGTGTCACGATGTATGTTGCCAATAAACTCCAAAACTACTGAACCGATTTCAATCAAATTTCACATGTACCCGTATTTTGGTCTAACTTACTGGATATGATAGTCGTCAACTCAATTATTCGCTTATGTCGTGAATGTAAACGAATAAAATGTACTAATTAATTTTTTCTTCAGCAAGTATTTATTTACTGTTTAGTTTTATGGAGTTCTCATAGATGGCGGTGTACCGTGATTCATAGATAAAATTCTTCAATATCGTTTGACATCTAGGTTGCAAATACACCCAATAGATAGCACTGTGTTATAGATAGCGTTTATTCTAAAGTAATCTGCGGTAATGTTTCTTTCAAATAATTTTGCGTTGATAACTTTTCGATTAAGTTTTTTGTAAACTTCAGAACTGTTTTTTTCATCTGTTTTTCAAATTGCATTGAATTGGATTAATATAGCTAAAGTTTTAAAGATAAAGTACTGAAACATATTGGACATTTGTTGTTTTTTTTTGTTGTACTATCTTCGAACTTAAACAACAAGGTAATTTCATCATCAGCTCAAAAAACAATAGCGTTTTTGGAAAATATATGTTGCCCAAAGTAACTATATCACGCGAACGACGTCGCGGGCAAAAGCTAGTAGTAAATAAAATAGATAAAGATAAAAAGTCATTAAACAAACATATTAACAGTTTTCAAGGAAGTGTGTTTTTACTTTAACAATAACACAATTTAAGGTTCGAGCCTTTCTTACAGTTTCAGGCAAAGAATTCCAAAGACGTACCGCATGCACGGAAAATGAGTAGGATGAGAAGTCGGAAGTATGACGAGGAATATTAAGGGTTCGCGCCCGAAAGGTTCCGTACTAGTAGCAAGCAAAAAAAACACGTTTGTTGTATGGGAGACGCCATGAAATGTTTATATTGCAAATTTCACCTGTCTTGTTATCACAGTTCATGAACCGTCATGAAATACAGCCTGCTGACAGACAGATGGACGAATAAATGGACTGACGGACAGCGAAGACTCAGTAATAGGGTTCCGTTTTTACCTTTTCGGTACGAAACCCTATAAAGATGTAGTAGGTTAGCGATGGTACATTTCAAGGGTTGTTTGTATGATATTTCAACATTATTCGTCGCTCGATAGTGTGGATAAGTAACAACTAAATTGCGACGATCAAACGGATGTGCACTCAAATCAGTGGATTGACTACTAAACAGACAACTAAATAACGTATTAGCGCCAATCACATAACAACTGCAGTCGAGCGCAGCGCACGCCGCACCGCATCGCACCATAAGTAGTATGTATACACGGGTATAGTAAAATGCACTGCGCTAGAAATTAATCGAAAAGGTAATTACGGTAACCGCAGCGTGTCATAGTAGTCGCCCGCTGCCGCCGCAAGTTGTAGTTGTTAACAACAATCGAATAACATCAATGAGGAAGTATTTAAAAAATAAACATTAATTCATGAAATTATACTAGATGTCACTCGCGATGTTTGGATTTTGTTTATTATATTCATTCAAATTTTATTATAAAAGTAAATTGAGTATCGAAAATTAATAAATATGACATTGTTTTGTGTTTCTTATAATATTTAACTTTCAAATCAATTCAATTTATTTTAATCGTAAGTTTAAGTTGTTTATTATGTTACAACGATGTTTGGTTTATACGTCAACATTAGTGATCTGATGAGCCAACTTATTGGTTGCTCGTAACTTTCATCCAAAATCAGGTTTGGAATTAAGAACAAAAAGCGGAGCGCAGAATTCAGCTTGTACCTATATGTATATGTTATTTTATTTTGCATCCACAAAATGAATGATATTAATATAAATATCAAAACCAATTCAGTCTAGGCTGTTACATATTACTTGTGAAAGTCGAAAACTTTGCCAATGGTTCGCAAAACTAAGGCGGGAGATCTCGTACTGACAAGAATCGCAAGAAACTCAGCAAGGGCTGCTTTTTTAATTTCAACTATACAACGACCTAACGCACACGACACCACTGCAGAGATTTTAAGAGAGCATGACTACTCTAGGTACTTAGTAAATAATATATTTCAATAAAACTGATTTCTCGAATAGGTTGTGTAGGAAGTCAATCTATTATTAACAATATTATTGTAAGAACCAAAAAACACATACCCACCGTACGAATTAACTTAACACATGGCTCGACGTCCGCTATCGATATCCAAGATCAGTAACAATAGTATACGTGTCTTTAACTGTAACTGTACGTGTCTTTGTGATTTTGAAATTTAAAGTTATAACCTTGCTGTTTATTTAGCACAGACGTTTCTTGTTGATTGCTGAATATTTATTAAGATGATTATAAGATTTAATAACTGATCATAGTTTTTTAAAGTCTTAATTTCGAAAGCACAAGTTATTTGCACGTTACACTTTGCACAAACGTCATTTTAGTCAGAAGTCATGTTGTTTTGTACGACTACATAGTATATTTGATACATATCGGGTAATTCCATAAATAATAATAGGATTTTTTATTATAATTATCGTTTTTTTTACTTTTGTTGCTGATTAATTAACCCTATTCATCTATTCACCAAATATAATATAAAAATATTATTGAGACTTAATGTACTTTTGTTTTTGTAAGTTCAACAAACAACTAATAGCAATAAAACTAACTTTATGATTCTGTCTTTTAGCCATTATCAGACTCGCGATATAACTTACCTACTTGTTATTGTTTTCAGAACTTTTGTTAAATATTATAATCAAAAATTCCTAGACCTACTATGGCATAAGTATTTTATTTATAAAATCTATTTGGCGGAAATATTATTGTATACCGTAGCTAAATACCGCTTTATTGTTGATTTCATTTGGTTTCCATTTTCCTCTATACAAATAAAAAAGAAATTTATTCAAAGATTACTTTGTATTAATCGAGTTGCGTTTGCATAACTCGAAGTAATTAAATTTCAACTTGTTATTAATCCGAGTTATCAGATCCATAACAACACTAACAATTCTATTCTCTTTGGTTCGACGTTTAGATCCAACAATTTGTGCTGCCATCTAGTGACATAATTTTTTCTAGTTTCTTTATTTTTTTTAAGTACTTCCTCATTAATAATCGCCATCGCTAACACAGTGTATAAAAATACGTAGTACCTTCTTTCCTAGTCTGTGGTATAAAACCTCCTTGGAGTAAAACCAAAGAGTAATGTAATATAAAAAGGTAAAGAGTAGCAACTCTACGGAAAATTTTGCATGTATGGAAAGTGCTGCCAGCTGGAGTTTGGTCAGAGCACTATTTTTGCCAACTATACTATACATAGCTTTTACGTATAGATATATTTTTGTATACTTGCATATATATATAGGTATTATCTATAGCTATTCTTAACTTCGTATTTATAGTCGGGAAGTAATTATTTGAGAATATGTCTATTGGCAAAAGACATTTTCTCAACTAATTACTTCTCTCGACTATAGATAAGAGTGTTTAAGATGTCTGTATTATAGGTAATTGGAAATAAGTAAAAAAATTGTATAATTTTACCTTTATTAAATATTACATTATTTCTTAGTGGTATAACTTTTATGTTTATTATAATACTCTGTAGCCGCTTTTTTTATTATATCGTCTCCTTGGAAGGACATTTTTCCATCTAATATTCTATTTATTGCTCTGCACCAGCTATAAATAATTGTTTATAGATAAATCAGTGAAATATTTGGTGATGCTATTTTTATGTTTATCACAATTTAAAAAAGCAAAACAGAAAACATTTCTAGAAATGATTTGATTCGATGTTTTAAAAATCTTTCATGGCAATTACTATTGAGAAATGCAATTGTAACATTTTGGATTTCTTGAAAAGAAGCGAATAAATCATCTGACGGATAACAAAGCCACATCTTATTGGTTTTGTTTTCTTTGGCTTTAATGTATCGGTTTGTTTCCTTATCTGCGAGATCTAATAACTTACTTTTACAATTTTTACAACCTTTAACAATTTTTTGCAGACATTCAGCTAAAGCCCACCCACCAACATATGCTCTTGGATCAGCCCCTGCATCTAAAATGCTTTTATTATTTTGTATAACATTTTGTAGTACACAGACGATCTTGATATAACATTTTCTCAATACTTATTTTTAGTTCTTTAAAAACTTGTTCATTTGTACCTGGTGAAAATTTAATTTGAGCAAGTAAAGGTTTTAAAACTTTTTGAGATGGAAAAGTGAAATGCTTACACATCAGTTTATAACTCTTAGGACTTTTATTATACAATGAATGGGA